AAGAATGAAATGGAATTAATCCTCCCTAGGAAGAGGGGCTGTTCCCCGGGCAGGAGGTGATATGAGCTTTAGACATCACGGGGTAGGTAGGCCAGCGATGGCAGGCATCTCACTTTGGTGGGTTAGAAGAGGGGCAGTGGTTGAAGATGAGGTTGTGGAGCAAAGCCAAGGTCAGGTCTTGATCTAGGGGTCATATGTATGGTGGTGAGGTGTGCATGGTAACAGAATTCCTCTTCCGACAGCACGGAGGGTGGAGGGAATTGGGGAATGGGGAGACATGCAGTAGCACTTCGTTTGGATGAAGCACTTCTAAACAGGATGAAGGCTTGGACGGAGGCAGGGGCCTGGGCTGCTTGGGAGAGCTGTATCTGAGGACTGTTCGGAGGTGGAGTGGGTGGGCTTGGTGATGATTGTGGTGTGGTGCAGCAGGGCTCTCATCTGTCTAGTGGAGATGGTTGGGTAGCTGTCCCCAGCTGGGACCAGAGACAAAGGAGGAAGGGCAGTTAGGAGGTGGGGGTGCCCACTGTGAGTTTCTGTTATTTCCACTTTTTCTTCAATCTTTGAACTGCTCATGGGGCATGTTTACTTCTCCCTTATAAAAGGTGAAGTGCAGGTTCAAGCCTGGTGGCAGTGGTTTTGACAACTCGGGGCCAATAGACGTCACTAGGCGTACGTGCGGATCTCCGTCTGGAGATGGGAGCTGAGGAGGATGGAGTGGCGGTTTCCACCGTAAGCTGCTGTGATTCAGGAGCAGGCACTGCGTCCAGCAGCTGGAGACGTGAACAAGGCCCTGGACCTGGCGGGGTAGCCGATGGTAGCCGCAGCGTCCACTACACTGCACGCAGGACTCTGAGGTCCAGGGATTTGCTCCCACTGAGGCTGGGGTTTCCTATTTCTGCTGGCAGGTGGGGTGTGCACAATGTGAAGGCCCCGAAATGGGCTGCAGCTCCAGTGGCGGGCCACACCCCCCTGTGTTGAGCAGGCCCCAGCAGCTCACTGCCGACGTCTCTCTGGGTTCTTGTCTCATGAATCCCCAAAACTGAAATCCACAGACAAGGATGAGTGACTGTTTCTTCAAGTGTGAATAGAAACAGACCAGCCCACATGACGAGAGGGGATCCAGGCTCGTCACTTGAGTGTGCTGGTCTAGGGGTTTCTATGGTGCTTGGGTCAACACTGTTGGCCCAAATCTATGCCAATCAGGGTTTGGAAAAGGAGCCGTGATTCTGGTCAGCCCCACAATCCCGTTATTCTGTCCTACTTCGGTTTCTGCTTGTGGGAAGCAGGAGGTTGAGGTCAGGAGCTGCAGGTGCTCGGGGTTCTGGGTTGTGGTGCTGTGAGGCGCAGGCATCTGCCCCAGACCCCGGTGGCACTTCACCTGTGGGACAGGTGAGCCCCCACCTCCCAGCTTGACTCTGCCCTGGATGGCGGCTCCTCGGGCCCACACTGGCTCGGCGGGCTCCATACGGCCAGGTCCCTTGCTCACCACCCCGCTGCCCCTCAGCGGCTCCACCAGCGCTTCTGGGCAGGGTTGGGGGGAGTCAGGTCATCACTACCTCTGTGACCTCTGCCATTTTCCTCTCTACCTGCTTGCTGTAGCCACCTCGTCCAGCTTGTAGATGTCGCTTGGATGTGTCCAGGCCAGTGAGGTGCTATTCCAGGGCTCCTGACCTTCCTCTGTTCTGTCGGAATGTCACCTTACTCTAGAGGGCTCCCCAGAGGATTGATTGTGGCCACCTCCTCAGAGGCTTTCCATCCCCTTACCCTGGTGACACCGACACCGTGCACAGTTAGAGGACTTTTGCCTCCTCCCTGGCAGGAAGGGGGGCTCTCGTTTTTAGTATGCTAATGGGTGGTGTGTCTTCTCGTGTTTTTAAGGTCATTCTAGGGAGGGTGTCCTCTAAGGTTGTGCTTCTCTTTAGGAAAAGTGGACATTGAAAGATTTAAAATGCAAGTGAAGTAAGGGAGTTGTTGATGTTTAGGACTGACGATTGCGAGTCTCTTACATCGGTGACTTCACCTAGAATATTTCAGATGTCATGAGATTTACAAAAAAAGACCTTGCACATAGGTCAAAATCAACTCTATGTTGTGAGGGGTAGTAGTTTTTTTATTGCAATGTAGTCTTATCATTGGGCATGGTTCCATTAAGATAATTATGTATTCATCTAGAAGCAGGAATTATGCTATTATTAATAATTCAGGAGAGTTTTCAATTAAGCTTTGACAACATTATTGTCTTTTGGTCCGATCTGACTCCTTGTTACATCAATAGTAACATCAAATTATTTTTTTTCAGTGAAGATAAAATTAAACCCCAGATAAACAGAATCCAAAAATCATTGGTCTTTAACCAATCTGGCTTCCTTTGAGCATCTCTTAGAAGACAGAGACATATTAAGGATTTTAAATTTTATATGTTTTCCTGGACATATCCTGAGATTTGTGTTCCTATTTTGCCTCTGTGTTCCTTGATCACATCTCCTGTAGCTCCCAGTACCTGAGAGATTGATTCCAAACATAACCGTGTGCCACCTGAAAATTCTTTATCATCAAAGAAAGAGGTAGTATGTTCATTATGTGGAAACATGGAATTTTAATGCATTTCCTCAGGGTCTCAGTGGTAGCCACAGAAAGGCTCCTTTCATTGGGTGGGGGCTTTAATTGATCTGTGCTCTCCCAGCTAACTCTCAGATTCTCCAATCCCCCCAACCCGCTCCAGTCAAAAAGCTCAAACCACTGATAGTTTCTAGTTAACCTTTAATGAATCTGAAATCTGGTTCAAAGTACCCCGTTCAGGTTAGAGGGTCTAATAGTAGTTTAGTGCATGCGCTTTTGTCAGAAGAATTACAAAGTATGGTGTTTGTAGACATGAGAAGGAGTCTTTTTAGTTTGCTAGAGCAAGAGTTGACACATCTGCGTTTCAGTGACAATGGTGTGACTCTGCAGGTCTCCATCAGCCTCGGAGGTACTTTTGTTACTTGGCATGCTTCTGTGTGTCTGAGTGTGTGTCTGAGTGTGTGTGTGTGTGTGTGCAGAACGACACAGACAGTGTTGCTCTTGTTGATTTCACGATTCTTTTGGGCTAGGGAATGGGTTTCCCTCTCGTGTACTTCCCATAGACCAGGGTCACTCTTGATCCTTCCCATTCACCCCTAAGCGTTTTAGAAGACATTTTCCCACCTCAGACACTAATTATTAAAGCCGCCTGATTTGCCAGACAAACACAACTCAGTTGTGGTATTTGAGCAACAGATCAATGAGCAAATATTGATGCGACGCACATGCCGCAGAAACCCGGCACCATCTGGGGCTGGGTGGGCTCGTGATGCACACGGGGAGCCGGGAGCGCCTCCGCCTTCCGATGGCGCAAGTGATGGAGGGAAAGCAGAAACTCCTGAGCAGCTTTCTCAGGGCAGTGGGGCCTCGTGCATGCATTCATGACTCATCCTGCTACCGTCACAAAGCGTGCCCAGGACCAGGGTGGCCGAAGTGTGTGACATTCTGGCCCTCCCCGAGCTTGGGGAGCAGGGCCTGCTGTCTTGGACAGGAAGTTAGTGAGCTGGGGCAGCCGCTCCAGAGTCGAGGGGCGATGAGGGCATGACGCAGGGCACCTGTAGGCCACTGTCGGAAGGTCTGCCCCTGACTTCTGTAGGAAGGGTAGTCTTCGTTGGCAGTGACTGGTAGATTGGCCTGTGGAACCCCAAAACGTAGGGGTGCAGGGGGGTGGGGTGGGGCATGGTTGGGGAGAGGACTTGTGTTGAACCTGAGTGTTCGGTGCGTTTCCAACTCTGTGTCCTGTGTCTCCTCTTGAGGTGGTGTGCCGTCCTTAGAACCTGCTGTTGACCTTGCGGTCCGTGGTTCTCGTGTTAGTTTGACCTTATAATTTACCAACTGCATAAAGTGACCTGACCGCTTTGAGCCTCCACTTAGCATCTATAGACACAAGATACTAGGAATCTGAGCCCCCTGCATCAGCTGCCATGTGAGGGTTCACGTGCAGGAACTCGAGTGAAATGAAAGGATTTTGAGGCTGCAAACTTTCCGAGGATGGGCGCTGTTGTTAGAATTAGCGGTGGTGGTGGAGGAAGCCTGGTCCTCAGCATCTCTCCCAGCATGCTTTTCTGGTTTGTTTTTGGTGGTGGTGGGAATTGAACCCAGGGCCTTATGCATGCAAAGCCAGCACTCTACCACTTGAGCTCTATCCCAGCCCTCACTTTCCCATTTTTGAAGATAACCGTGGCTGCCTCCGAGTAGACGTTCCAGTGTGTGGTCTGAATGATCGTCCGATGGCAACACGAGGGTCCCGTCTCCCATCTTTTGATATTGGTTGTTGATAAAGGAAATGAACAGGTCCACTCATAACTCTAGGACTCTGATCGGGCTTGGACTTCACGTTCATGATTGTAGAGATTTGTAATTGCGGGTCAGGGGCGAGGTTTACTTCTTTCTCTGAGTAAGATTTCCAAGCTGTCAAGGAGAGAAGGAGCTGGTTCTCTAGTAGCCTTCTGTCCACCTGTAGGAACATGGCTGGACCGTCAGCTTGCCCAACTGACTCTGGTGTGTGTTTCCTTCACTGCCACCACCCCGGCTCCCAGAGCAGTGCCTGGTTCATTCCAGGCGCACCTTGGATTTTCCTTAAATCAATGGCCCTGCCAAAGACCTGTTGTGCTGGGGGCACTTGGAAATGTTGGGAAGGTCAAGTCAGGGTCTGCGACCTTCAGGACCTCACAGGCCAGCAGGGAAGAAGGAAAGTAACAGAAAACGAGGGTCGTGGGACAGGTGCTGACTGCAGGAGCTACGGGGGGTAGGAGGGTGGCAGCTAGGTGACCCCACAAAGGCAGTAGTAGAGTTAGGTCCAAATGTGCTCTTGAGGTCTCCGGAGCAGGGGAGGTGGGAGTGCGAGCCCCCTCTGCAGACAGCAAGAGGGTCCACTGCAGGGAATTTGGAAACAATAATATTGACCAAATAAGTCAGTTTTCTTTTGTTGTCACACACAGGGAACCCTGCTGAAGAGAGGGTGTGCCGAGTCTTCCCCAGGGGCTCCCAAGTCCGCCCGCCTCACCCTCTGGGCGCCCATACCTTCTCTGGGTGACATTTGTTCCAGTGACATACTTGGACTTCAGAGACCGCAGCCTTCTGAAAGCACAGCCTTCAGGCTGGGTAAGATAATTTCATAGATGCGTTTTATAAAACAACAACAGCAGCAAAACATTGAGAAAGCCCTAACTCTGGATACGGGCGTCATCGAAGACAACCGTAGGATGAAAAGAAAACGTGTCTTCTGTCACTCTCAGAAGTTTAGAAAGGCTCTTCTTTTCTCCTTCTTTCAAAGAGAGATGATCTTTTAAGACATCTTCTCCATCTTAAAAAGGTAGGCTTTCTTGGGTCAACGTCTTGTGCCATCACACTTGTGTTATCAAAGAGTGACCTTTCGTTTGTTGAAAAATAATTTTTCTCAAAAATTGATATTGGATTCCATGTTCCTTGTAATGCTCCATTTCAATCTACCAGTGTGTTACAGTGATAGTCGGTTCATTTTTCCATCTAGACTTAAAAGAAATTATCCCCTCTCTCGTAGCAGCCAACTTCCCAAATTCACAACACTACTCGGTAATCACCCTTCTTTCTTTCTTTGGTGAAATTTTATCTTTTTTACATTGTGCAAAATATATATATATATATTTTGGATGTTGTCCATATTACAGGTTTGTAAGGAATTGCTACCTCAGTATTTTTGAGGTATTTTAAATAAGGTGGGAAATTAGTCTCAATACCTAAATCAAACACACAAAAAATCCATTTAAAGAAGATCTGAGTGAATCGACGTGGAGACCCGTGGGATAGTACAGAAGACAGACAGAGCCACATACCTACAGTCATCGGACCCTTGACAAAGGTGCCCAAAACACACATTGGAGAAAAGACAACCTTTTAAACAAACGGTGCTGGGAGGACTGGACATCCATATGTAGAAGAATGAAACTAGACCCCTGTCTGTCACCCTGCACAAGAGTCAGATCAAAACGGATGAAAGACTTAGGAATTTAGGCCAGAAACCTTGTAACTGCTGGAAAAGAACCTAGGGTCAGCACTTCATCATATAAGTGCAGGCATTGACTTCCTCGGCAAGGCCCCTAAAGCTCAAGAAATAAAACCAGGAATCAATAAAGTGGGATGCCATCACATTAAAAAGCTTTGAGCAACAAAGAGAGGAAAGAGAGAGCCCATGGAATGGGAAAACAAATCCTTGCCAGCTACTTCTCTGATGGGGGATTAATATCCAGAACATATAAAAAAAACCACAAAAACTCAATGCTAAAAACAAAACAAACAAAAATCCCAATCAATAAATGAGTAAAAAAAAAAAAAACTAAACAAATTTCTCAAAAGAAGAAGCACAAATGGCCAACAGATATATGAAAAAATGTTCAGTATCTCTAGGAATCAGAGATATGCAAACCAAAACTACACTGAGATTTCATGTCACTTCAGTTCGATTGGCAATTATCAAGAATACAAAATAAATAAATAGGTGTTGGTGAGGAGGTGGAGAAAAAGGTGTACTCGTTCATTGTTGGCCGGGCTGAAAATTAATCCAACCACTTTGGAAAGCAGTGTGAAGGTTCTTCCAAAAACTAGAAACAGACCCACCATATGACTAGCTATCTTTCCTCTTCGGTATTTATGCAAAAGGACTAAAACCAGCATAGTGTAGAGACACATCACTAGAATGTTTACAGCACCTCAGTTCACAATAGCTAAGAACATGGAGCCAGTCAGATGCCTGTCAACAGAGGAATGGAGCAAGAACATGTGGCACATTCACACAGCGGAGTTTTACTCAGCCACAAAGAAAGAAATAATGGCATTTGCCGATAAATGGATGGAAATGGAGAAAATCATGCTAAGTGAAATAAGCCAGACTCAGAAAATCAAGTCAAATGTTTTCCATCATATGTGGAAGCTAGAGAAAATAGAGGAAAGATGGCGGAGGGGATCAGATAGCATAAAGATAAGAGAAGATAAGAGAGTAGGAGGAGAAGGAGAGGAAGGGAGGGAGGGAAAGGGGAGGAAACGTGGAATGAATCCAACAGAATCCTATCATATACACACCTAAATGTACCCAGAGAGATTCCACCTTTGTGCATATGTAGAAGGTGCCAATGAAAAATAAATGAATAAAGGAGTGAAAGGAAGGTCAGTGGAGTAGAGGAGGGGGTAATGGGGTGGGGGAGTAGGAATAGAAATCAAATTCCTTGCATGGATGCTTTTGTCATTGGGAACCCAAATACTATGTATGATTATAATGCTGTAATAAAAAAATGAAGGCCAGCTGTGAGTTCCCTAGGATAAGTGTCCATTCCTTGGAGCAATGACTTACCCAGTGGTACCCAGTGCTGCATGCTCCACACCCACTGGAGTAGTTGAATTACCCTGCAGGGTCTACAACATTGATTTTCGCAGAGCGCATCCTAGCAGCCTATTAGCATTCCATTAGGCTGGGCAGAGAACTAATAGGAGAGCATCCCTGAAGTCAGAGATCAGAAGTAGACTTCCGCATGTCCTGTTCAAAAAAGGATGAAGTACAAAGGAAGAGGTAGGGCCAGCCTCAGGTGTGTCACCTACAGAGGGTGCTAGTGAAGCAGCCTGTTATTTTAAGGAAATAACAGGATAAAAGTGCACTGTTGTGCAACTTGCTGTTCAGGGACATGGTGGGGTGAATTTAATCTACAGCTAGGTGAACATACTCTTCACCAAAATTCAGCTGACTGGAATGATCACACTTTCCGAGTTTCCTCTAATTTCTTGTGTTAGGGTTTCAAGTATTTAGTTCAATTAGTAGGCGGACATGTAGGAAAATTGGAATACTCTAATTTCATTTAATGCTTTTGTACTGGGGTGAGATATGGCAGGGATCTGAGAAGTAACACTGTGAAGCTTTTCAACTGCTTTAGATCTTCCCTGGAGCCCCTGATGAACCTTATCTGGCCTTGGAGTGAGGGTGACAGTTAAGTAGTTGGGGGAATTTTCTCACTGAATCTGGAAGAGTGCTGGGAAAAGTGGTTTTGAACACAAGGGTTTGGTTATATTAAGATCAAATTTAATAATTCTTTGTGAAATTTACTACATGTCATATATTGCACTCGGCTTTGAGAGGTGTATGGTAAGTAAAATAGACTCCCCACCTTCATGGACAACTCTAGAGAATCTGTCTCCAGAGATCTAGAACAGATAACAAAAACAACCCTGAGAATGTGTGAAATGAATTTAAAGTACTGTAACTTCACTACTTATTTAGTCATGATTAGCCATTGTTTTGGTGGAAATTGAGGAAGACTCTGTTTCTTAAGAACATGATAAGGAAGGAGTGGTCAGACAGTAGGATTACCAGGAGAAAATGGTGTCCAGAAAGTGGAGGGAAGAGATTGTGTCCCGAAGGCCAGGGTGGGTCAGTCTGCATCACCTACCACAGAAGCCAAGTGTAGATAAGCTCACCAAACCCAGGAAGGGAACAGGGAGGTGACTGTGACCTTTGGGAGAGCTGTTAGGAGGGTTGGGTGGGGGAATCCTGCTTGCAGGAATGGTGAGGTCATCTAGGAGGAAGAGCAGGCTCTGTAAGACAAGCTGAGATGTGGCACCCTTCACTCATCCGCGAGGGCGCCATCTTGCAAAGACATTGAGTCTCTCTGGACCTCCGCCTGCTCGTCTGTAAAGTAAGCAGTGATGCTAGTACCTGTTATTTCAGGGGATCCAATGGGTGCCATATGAGGCAAGTGATTCTTGCCAATTAGCTCCTGAGGATTCAGAGGTAGTTTAGAAGAGAAAGCAACTAATTCCAGTTTGTGGGCTAAATATATGTCTTGTTTAATTTATTTTTTTATTATGATTAACAAACATATAACATAAAACTTACCATTTTCATTCTTTTCAAGTGTGTAGTTGAGTAGTGTTGAGAATATTCCCATCCTTGTGCACCCAATCTCCAGAGCCTTACATCTTGCAAAACTCGTGAAACATCTCATTGTTCCCCTCCCCACAGCCCCTAGAACTGACATCTCTTCTATTCCTGTGAGTTTGGAGTCACACAATGTTGTTCCATTTGTGACTGGCTGATTTCGCTTAGCGTCATACCTTCAGGATTCCTCTGTGCTGTGACAGATGCCAGAATCCACCCCCCTGCCCGTCTTTAAGGCTGAATAATAACCTATTGTACATGTCACGCTGCATCCATTCATCTGGTGATGGGCATTTGGGTTGCTTCAATGCATAGGCTCTTATCACCATTATTTTGTGAATGTTGCTCTATGAACAAGGGTGTACAGATATCTATATCTATATGCTAATGAGGCTGAGGGAAGGTAAGAGGTGAGGGCAGGTGAGGGAAGTCCTGCTGTGAGCTGCCTGCACAGCTGTGCGTCCCCTGGCTGTTGGGGTCCACCCCCACTGTGCCTGCTCACCTCCTGGTGGTCTCTGTTCTCTGCCTTATTTAATTCTCACTCCTTTTCACAATAAGGAGTGCTACCAGAAAAAGAGCGGAAATTGTCTTCACTCACCTTTAAAAAACGTGTCTGTGTCCAGCCCTGGAGGGGAGGAGCTGAACTCCCTGCCAGCTGCTCACGACCAGCTGAGTCCCAGGACTTTCTCAGACCACAGGGAGCGTGTGCCCCCAAGAACAGTGAGGTCAAAATGTCTTCTTCAGCTTCCTCCAGGAGGAAAGGGCAGGTGGTCTTCAGGTTCCTTTATGCTTGATGTGGCACAGGTGGTTGGGATCGTCATTTCTAGGTAAAAAGGAAGAAGGAAAAGTGGGAATTGGACACTTGGACCACCTACCAACTTGGTGCTAGTTCTATGGCCCCCTCCGTCAGTTAGTTTTCCAGAGCAGGCCTCCTGCCACTTCCCTGGTTACCTTGCCGAAGTCTCATCTCTGCTCCTTGGAACTTCTGTTTTACCTGGTTCCTGGGGTGCTTTAAACCTAGCGTTTATGCATAAAAGGTGGCCACCTGCTACATCCTGGGAAGGAAGCTGAGCAGTGTCGCTTCGGATTCCTCTGAAACTCCGTCTCATCAGATTCTGCATCCCATTCTCTGAAAAAAAAAAAATTGGGAATTCCCAGGTTGAAGCTGAATTTCTTTGCATGAGAATCAGGGGAACTTTGGGGA